TATATATATATATATATATATTATATCGGGTATCCGTTTATATTTGACATCACTTTGCCAATTGAGTTCATAAATAATGATGGCTGTTTTCAAAATATACCATTTTATTAATAATTTAAACAAAATTGATGTTGAGATATTCGTATATACTTTAAGTTCTTTCTATTTATGAAAATCATATTATGCATTTTTTATTCTCACTTTTGCCACTGTAGAATGATATTCTATTTAATATCGTTTGTCTCATCAAGAATTTATTGATATCAAACATAATTAGGAGATTTTATAAGAATCTTTAATCCGACAATTAGTGCTAATTTGGATAGATATTAATCCATCTGCTTCATTAGGAATTTTGTTTTGTAACTAACGCTTACAATCACCCTTTACACAAAAAAATATTATAATGATTTTATAGTTATAAAAAAATTTATACGCTACGTATCATAACACAAAAACATCTTCTTTTGCCATTTTTAAGGTATTTTGAGGTAATTATTTTTCCGATTGAAAATAGAACATCAAATTAAATATTTGATAATATAATTATTTCGAAATATACTAACAAAATCATACCGAACTGATAAAATGGACGTTGTACCGTGAAGGTTCGAGTGTATATTTTTTTTTTCCCTAAGCGCCTTTTTGGGTAATTAATCAATTAATTTTTTGTCGCAAGTGTTTTAATTTAGATTGTGTCGGGGTCCATATTTAAGATAATGGGTCCCCACACAACCAATGGGTCCATATTTAAGATTACAGTTACAAGATCTGAATCGCTAGATTTTCTAATTAAAATGTGTGATTCAGATATTAATTGTAATGAATATATTGTTTCTTATTATAATACGAAATTAGCAGGCTATCATCATTTGAATATGCATATTCCAATACAAAATTACCACATTTTCGCTGTTACTACAATATGAAACCGAACTTTATGTTGGATTTTTGTTTCCCTTGTCAAATATGTTGTATACTTTTAATTTTATTTTAAGATAAAATGTGTATATATGAACACAAGCATGGTATTTTACAGTAGAATTAAAGATAAGACAAACTTTCATGCAACCTCGGTAAAATAAAACCACAACTATTTCCAAAAAAGGGGAGAACATATATATATATATGTATCTATGTATGTATTAAAAGGAAATTCAAAAACTAAGGACAGTCAAAGAATGAAATCATGAAGGGACCAAAGACATGTTTGTGTAAACATATAGATGCCTATGATTGCTCCTTTGTCTGTGTATTATTATTATTATTATTATTATTATTATTATTATTATTACGTACTTTAGTTACACATCTTTCACCGTAAAAAAACAATTTCATCTAATAATTTGTTGACTTGATGAAAATCAAAACTCTTATCTAATCCGCTATATGATTGTCATCGACAAGGAGAAGGATATATATATTGGTTGCCAATATTAGGTTTCATATATATATATATATATATGTATGTATATTCACCAATCAACATTCACCCCCCTCCCCCCAAAAAAAGTTTCATATAAATAGGTTGGTGAAAGTGAGGTTTCTGAATGTAATGGGCCGGGCTCAACATTGTTTTTTTGCACGTAGGCCCAATATGTGAGAGCAAATGGGCCTGGACTTTCTCTCTCTCTATATATGACACAGACACAAATATAGTATTAGATGTCAATAAAAATCTTTATATATAAAAGTACAGTGGATTCATGAGGGAGTGACACATGTACTATGAGAAGAATATGAAAGATTTTTCAAACAATTTATTACCCATTAATATGACACAATATAATTTCCCATATTCTCAAAAATTGATGCGGACTACGTAATAACTTTATTAATAAATAATTAATTTAGTTTTTGAATTCATTGAACAATAACTACACCCACTAAATAATAACAACACATATTAATTAATTCTAAACTATAAATAGTGTTTATACGTCAATACAACTATCAATCAATTATTTTGGTGTTTGAGTGTCTTTGAGATCAATGGCCCACAAGGCGAAAGCCATTCAGGTACACAAAATTCTCCTCCCGATTTGTGTTCTACCGATTTCTATAAACCTAAATCGTTGCATTGTACCGATTTTTCTGGTTTTAGGAAATGGTTGAAGCACTTGAACAAGGTCCCAAGAGTGGAATTCTAGACATTTTTCAAAAAAATATATTCATGCCGTTATAGTAAGTATTTAGTTTGATCAATCTTATCCAAAAAATATTATTTTGATGAAGGATTTATATATCGTTATTTTTTTCGGTCGAATTTTCGGTTTATGGGTTTAGGTCGGAGTCAGTCTAATGCTTTTGCAACAACTTCGGGAAATACCAGTGTGACATATTACGCAAGTTCTATCCTTGAAAGAGCCGGTTAGTGACCATATCCAATTTATGAATTCAGTTATTTTTTGAATTTTGTATTCGAAATTAGTATAAAAATCGGTATAATTATTATAAATATCAAAATGTTTATTTATTCTCATGTTTAGGTTTTCCAAGCAGCATCGGAATAATGATACTAGCGATCGTCATGGTATTTTATTTGAGTTTACTTAATTAATTCGGTTTTAGAATCTTTTTGGACTGACATGTGATTTCAGATTGGTTTTCGATTTTTTGTTTTTATGAAGTTACCGATCTTTGTTGGGTTTGATATTGGTCGACAAAATGGGACGTCGTCCTCTTCTTATCGTACGTTTAACCGTGAAAATTAGATATATTTCTTGATTTTAACCTAATAAATCGGTTAAGCTAACCAAAAATCGATTTTCTAATTCCATATCGGCTACTGATTCAATTACCCAGCTGAAATATATTTTTATAGTTTTTGGCTTCATCTATGTTTGATATATAAATGTGTATGTGTATCGTATGGTAGTTTTTGAGATACTATTTTATATTTCACAAAGTGATCCAAAAGAACTTATAGTTCTCAAAACTTGAAAAAGTAAACATTTGCAGTAACAAGAGAAGAAAGATGATAAAAAAAAGTCAGTTTTTTATAAGTAAATTCTTCAATACAATTGTAAAATATTCGATACGGTTTGCTTGGAAACCCTTTCCATGTTTTTATCAATGTCTTGATGAACAAAAAAATAAGTTAAAACGCTGTTAGACTTTCCAGTTTTTTTGCCTAGATATCTATGTCATCGTGGAAAATAGAAACTGATGGATGTTTACCATAATTTTTTTAATATCTAAATTAAAAAAGTTTAATAATAAAAAATTAATTAAACTTCAATCTCTGTAGAAAAAATTTGAAAATGAAAAAGATTAATGGTCAATAACGTTAAGTCAAATTGTTCGATTTATTGTCTATTATTATATTTTAGCGTAATTGGAGTTCTTTTTATTTTTTAAATTAGAAACTCTAATGATTCAAAGCACAAAATACAAAGAAAAAAATACAGAAGTATTCATTTTAATTGGTATCAAGCAAAAGATCATACTTATTGAGAATCTGCTAATACAAATTTGAAATAAAAACTAAATTTCATGTCTACCATGGGATGATAATAATAACATATTCTACTTTTTAATCATGGATTATTGATGACTAAGATAGCGAAATTGAATACTTAACAACGATGTTATTTTATTTCAACTTTCAGTTTTTTTTACAATATATGAATGTAAAATTACAAAACATGACACCACTTTGGTTTTTGTTTTGATCATATGAAAAAAAATTTCAAGCATGAAAAGCAATGTGTGTATGCTTTGTTCTACAATGTCTTAACATCTTTTTTTTTTTAGAGATTACAATTTCTGTCCAAGTCTCTCATGTTACTATTTCATTTTCTTCTTAACTATTTTAATTAAACTTGAAATTTTAAAAAAGACGTCACCCATATGAATCCAACGTACGTTTAAGATACGATAAATAAATTTTCTACTATATTTACGTTAATTCTTATGAATTTGAATTGATTTAATAAAAACTATAGAAACTATGAAGATTTTAATTGGATATAACGTGAAATGTTAGTTTGGTTGATTAATGGCCCCCTATGTATCACTAAGGTTTAATTTTAAAGACTTTTCAGAAATTTATCGAGTCAGGTCTTGATTTATAGGACCAAAATCTTAATGATAATTATTATATTTCATAATATGTGAAACCCAAATAAAATTCTTTTGTTAAAAGTGGTCGGGTTATTCCGGATAATTAATCTCATATGGGTTGTTGAACGTCCAATATTATTTTGATAAAATATACATAACATATAAATATGACATAATGTTATTTTTTTGTTAAGTATAAAATAACCAAATCTTAGTGTATTAAAAAAATACAACGACTTAAAGTGTAATGGGATAAATAAAATATTAATAATATTAGTGTTTTATTTCAGTAATTTGATTAAATTAAATAGATATCGATGAAATTTGATTACTGATGATATTACATAGGTTTAATATTATAATAATATTTTATTATAAAATATTTATTAATCAAAATATATTATTTTTATATTTATAATACCAACCAAATTTATATTATTGTTTAAAATTATATTTATCAAACTATCGATAATTATATTTTTTAGATACCTTGGATTCACTTAAAGTAAAACTCTTTTGCCAAGTCATAAAATTTGTAGAAATATTGTTCTAATATTCTATATTTTATTCGTTGATTCTATATTATAATTTACAAAAATTAAACACATAACATATTTCTCTCTTTGAAAAAAATACAGCATTCAGTAATCTTCGTATTTAAAATAAAATCTACATTTTATTTAAAAAATATAAAATATAGAATCAAAACAATATATAATATTTAATTTTGAAAAAAATTTATGTATTTTTAGTCCGCGCGATACGCGCGGGTTAATACCTAGTATATAGAATTTTAATAAATTTATCTTAGGGCATATTAGCTAGCAGTCAAACCCTATTGGGTAAGATTAAAACAAAAAATAAATTTAATAAAATTGGAAAGTTGGAACAAATTGGGTAAACACCTCAAGTCTACTTGTTAGAAACATTACCTTTTTACCCCATTAGATTTTTCATTTCTTAATGTAGCAAACACCATATATTATACCATTACATATATATATATATATATGTGTATATGTCCAATAAAATTTGACTATATATATATATATAATTACTCAACTGCCCAGAACTTTGGGAAAATAAAGAAAAGGGCTTCAATTACATAAAGGGTGTCTTCTCTCCACACTATCACCGACTTCTTCACGATCGCTTTAATCTTGGAACTAAAAGGTGAAATAAAAAATAAAAACCCAAAAAGATTTCGCCACTTGTTCATTTCTCCTTCATCCAAAACCCATCATGTGATCTTCTTCCTCTCCATTCATGCTTCATCCAGGTTTTATCTTTTTGTTGTTGTTCATCAAATTTTTGTGGGAGGCGCATGCCTTTTTTTTTTTGGAAATGTTCAAGTCAACCCTCTTTAACCTTTTTGATTTGTTGCCATTAAAAATGGGTAACAATAACTTTTTCCTACGATTTTCGTTGCATGGATTCGTCTAGTTTCTGGTCATCTTCTGCACGGGTCACTCCTCTCAAATCTTCCTTGTCGGATCATCATTTGGGCTGTCGGGTCCCTCGCATCAGTCGAAAATTTCGGTCTTTGAGCTCTGATTCGGGTCTGCGTTTCATCATTTCGGGTCCAGATTCCGGTAAGAAGAGAATCGAATCTCCGACAAGGCGATTGGCTATGGCGTCTCCCGCGAATTCCGACCGGAAGATCATCACTGGTCCCGCCGGTTACGTTCTCGAAGATGTTCCGCATTTGTCCGATTACATCCCGAGCCTTCCTGTACGAGTGGTTTCTTTTATGTTTCTGATCGATCACCCTGTTTGGTTGCCGGGAAAATGCAATCGAACAGGGACACTTTAGCTTAAAAAGTTACGATCTTTGATTCGTGTGATGATTTCCGAAAACTTTTTCACCATTTCTTCCGCCATTCGATTGATTTCTGCGTCGTGTGGTGTTTCAGACATATCCAAATCCATTGCAAGACAACCCTGCGTACTCTGTTGTCAAGTGAGTGAGCTTCGACTTAATCCAAGAACTCATTTTTCTGTCAAATTCCTGAACTTCTCTCTGCAATGGAGATACGGTTATCAATGGCGGCGTATTCTAATTCTGAAATGTGCAAGCCTTTGCTGGACGATAAGCTTTTGTATCAAATGTGTTTTTTCAGGCAATATTTCGTCGACGAGGATGATACCATCCCTCATAAGGTTCGTTAAATTCTCTCCTTCCATGTTTTCAACAGGAATTAGCATCAACGATTTCTCTTCATCCTGCAGATAGTTGTTCATCCAGACACTCCCAGAGGAACTCATTTCCGGCGTGCTGGACCTCGGCAAAGGGTATTTCCGTCTTTTATCCACCCGGTCACGGTCACGAGTCTGGTGGCTATACGGCATTGCCTCCTGATAATGGAACCGGTTCTCTGCAGGTCTATTTCGAGCCGGATGATGTTCTTGCTTGCATTGTCACGTGTGGTGGCCTGTGTCCGGGACTCAACACCGTGACCCGGGAAATAGTCTGTGGCTTAGCTTACATGTATGGTGTAAAGAGGATCCTCGGAATAGATGTAAGCCGCTGATGTAAACCTCCACCTCTAGTGTCATTCTTTGCATTGTTCAATCTCGGCATATATACAGAGTTTCTCCTTCATGATTCATGAATCTCCATAATGAATCATGTTTCAGGGAGGTTACAGGGGATTTTACGCAAAAAACACGGTCCCTTTGGACCCGAAAGTCGTGAACGATATACACAAACGTGGAGGAACCGTGCTCGGTACTTCTAGAGGTGGCCATGATACCGCCAAGATAGTTGACAGCATTCAAGATCGCGGGATTAACCAGGTTCTTGAAAAGTTACCCAATTACTGTTAGGATAACAGTGAATCTGCAGTGAATCTAATGTAGAAATGTATAACCATCTAAGATTTGAGACGATACAAATCGTTTTTTTACCATGGGATTTCACCAGGTTTACATAATTGGTGGAGATGGAACTCAGAAAGGTGCAGCGGTTATATTCGAGGTTCTTCTTCGTTTTTATCTGTGATCAGTTCCTTTGCTGTAACTAAGAGATGGGTTAAAAGGTTGTTTTTTTTCTTCCATATGTCTTTTTGTTTCTTATTCTGCAGGAAATCAGGAGACGGGGGCTCAAAGTCGCGGTTGCTGGAATACCGAAAACTATCGATAACGACATTCCCGTAAAACCTTTACCCTGAATTTGAGTTTCGGGATTGTTTTCTGATTCATTACAGCTGTTGTTGAGAAAGATAACATGGTGAAAGAAAGAACGGATCTTTCTTGATAGGTTATCGATAGATCTTTCGGGTTTGACACGGCTGTTGAAGAGGCTCAACGTGCAATCAACGCAGCCCATGTCGAAGCCACGAGTACTGAGAACGGCATAGGCCTTGTTAAGTTGATGGGACGGTATAGCGGTAAGTATAGGAGATTTCATTGCTCGAATGATACAAATCGGCAGAAAAATGTTTCTAGGTTTTTAAGAGTGAAAACCCTTTTTTGCAGGTTTCATTGCCATGCATGCAACTCTAGCCAGCCGAGACGTGGACTGTTGCTTGATCCCGGAATCGCCCTTTTACCTCGAGGGAGAAGGCGGGCTCTTTGAATTCATCGAGAAAAGGCTGAAGGAGAATGGTCACATGGTGATTGTGATTGCAGAAGGGGCAGGACAGGAGCTTTTGTCTGAAAGCATGCAGTCCATGACTCTCAAGGATGCTTCTGGTAACAAACTTCTTCATGATATTGGCCTGTGGATATCTCATCGGATCAAGGTACGCTATATATTCTTCGACAAGAACATCAAAGAGAAACTTTCTTGAGAATTGGCTTCAGATGGGTTCATCTTTTTTCTGCTTCTGCAGGATCATTTTGCCAAGAAGATGACCATAAACCTCAAATACATAGGTATATATCTATATATAATCTGAGATTTGATCGAGGGATTGTATAGTGTAATGATATATGATCTGTTTTTGTTTTTTTTGCAGATCCAACTTACATGATCCGTGCTATTCCTAGCAATGCATCAGACAATGTATATTGCACGCTTCTAGCTCAAAGCGCTGTTCACGGAGCCATGGCTGGGTACACAGGCTTCACTGTTGGTCTTGTCAATGGCCGACATTCTTACATCCCCTTCTACGTAAGTCTAAACTCGGAAACGAAACCCATAATTCACAAGCTTTTTTATCTGCGGATTCAGCAAGATGATGGGTCATATGCCGTTCTTGTTCTTGATTCAAGAGCAAGAAAACCATCTTGACATGTTTTTTTTGATGGGAGGGTGTGTCTGAATTTTGCGCAGAGAATCACAGAGAAACAGAACGAGGTGGTGATTACAGACAGGATGTGGGCAAGGCTTCTGTCTTCGACCAACCAACCCAGCTTCATGAATCACAAGGAAGTGTCGCCGGAGAAGAAGGACGAGGGCGCCGGAAAGATGACGTGGATCCCGGAGAATGGTCAGGTCGGGGACCAAGAAGAAGCCGTGAACATCTCTGTCTGAAAATGGAACACTGACGCCGTCGGAGTTTTCTAACTGTTTTTTTGTTGTTGTTGTCATTAAGAGAGGGATTAGTGACTCTTCAGAGGATTATCTTGTTTTTAGAATAATCATCCATTCCTAAGCTTGAAAATTGCTGTAATGATTCTGAGAATAATGCAATAACTGTGTTTAAGGTTGAGTAAAACACGATTTTCAGGTTCTGTTACTCGTGAATAGTAAATTTAATATATAAAAGACTGTTATATAAATGATTTTTTAGATTTTTCGTAATAATTTAAAAAGAAAATAGAATTACAAAAAATTATGATCTAAAATTTTAAAATAAGCTTAGTTTCGAAAAAAGGAAAAAGGAAACCAAACCGGAGACAGGACGGAGAGAGAACACGTTGGAACATCTTCGACGAGGGAGAGCTCGGAGATTCAGAGAGAGAGATGGGGATAAGGTTCATATTGATGGTGAACAAGCAAGGGCAGACGCGTCTGGCTCAGTACTACGAATGGCTCACTCTTGAGGAACGTCGCGCTCTCGAAGGCGAGATCGTTCGCAAATGCCTCGCCCGCAACGAGAAGCAGGTTCCGATTTCGTTTCTCTCTTTTTGTCATCCCTCGATTCGTTGATGTTTCTTGTGCATTCGACTTAGGATCACTCTCGATTTTGATCGGATCTCGTCGCCCAAGCCATTTGATGTCATATGCATTCGCCCTAGATCGTAAAGCCGCGGTTCTCTGATCCTAGAATTGGCCTTGGTTTTACTGAATTCCGGTTTCTTGGATGATTGGAGATCCATACTCGACGTTTATTACTTCTTGAACTGCATCATGTGATCCAGATTCTGAAGCTGTTCTTCAAGTTTCTAATTCCTTGTTCACATTTTCTAGCTTTAGGTGATCGCCGGTTCTTTGCTCTGTTCACTTTCAGTGTCCCACTAAATCTTTTGTACATTCTAAACTGACAGTGTTCATTTGTCGAGCACCGCAACTACAAAATCGTCTACAGACGTTATGCATCTCTGTTTTTCCTTGTCGGGATCGATGATGAAGAAGTAAGTTATCCCTCTATTTTCTTGACTGTTAATTCTTACATGAAACTTGTTCTGGAAAACATGGATGTCTCGTTCAAATTTTGTTTTTTTTTCTGGGTAATTGTCTGGTCGCAGAATGAGCTAGCGATTCTGGAGTTCATACATCTTTTGGTCGAGACCATGGACAGGCACTTTGGCAATGTGGTAAGCTCAAGCTGTCTCGGACTGAATACATTTGTGGCATTACATGTTCCTGTTGTGATCCATTACAAACTAAACGAAATTTCTGCTTTGATAACTATGTAGTGTGAACTAGACATCATGTTCCATTTGGAGAAAGCTCATTTCATGCTCGAGGAAACGATCATGAACGGATGCATTGTTGAGACAAGCAAATCCAACATACTATCGCCAATACAGCTGATGGACAAAGCCTCTTGATAAAGGTTCCATTTCGCCACACTTTCTTTTTCCTTTCATTTCTGTCCCGTGGGAACTTGTTGTATGTTAGCTATTTGCAAGAAGAAAAGATGATTTTCCTATTATCATCTTGTGGATTTGAACTTCACAAGATTGACAGTTCTATTCGATGGATCAGACAATGAAGAAGAAAATAACAGTGTATATTTACAGTTCTATCATTATGAATTTGATGGTTCGATTATGTCACACAGCGGCTGGTTTCCCATCCTTCCGGGGATCACTGACTGCTGTGAGAATGCCCTTTAATAGATTCCCTTTCTTAGAATCTTTTCCGTCTTTCCTTCCCCTATCAATGTGTTCTTCCTCAAAGCTTTGAACGACAAGCTGAACTATGGCTCCTGCTGCTATGTTCTCTAGTTCATGGCCCCTTTCTTCCAAGAACATCTTACTGTCTTCGGCAAGCTCTATGTGATCTCCATTGATCACGGTCAAGTCCTCGTATTTCACCACATTCGGTATTAGCTGCAGTAAGCATATTTCTTTCATCGAATTAGTACATAGTTTTCCCAACTGACATTTTGTTGGATGTCTTACTTGTTACATACACGGTGGTAGACTCGAGAGCTCTGGACAGCATCGCGAGGTTTCATCCCCAAGACAAAGCAGTTAAGGAATACTTGGACCACTGCCGGTATAATATTCATACCACCGCTCCCACCAAGAGCCGCAACCAGCTGACCATCCTGCAAGAAAACTCGGGTTCATGACCAGACAACTCTCCACTTTTTTAAGTTCGAGATGAATCCCTGCTACCTTTGTGATTACGAGAGGGGTCATGGAAGACAAAGGCCTCTTGTTCGGTTCGATGAAATTTGCAGGTGCTGGAGGTAGCTTGTCGGGAGTTTTCTCCGTGGGCACAGAGAAATCATCCATCTCATTATTGAGTATAATACCAGTGGAGGGTGACAGAAACCCTGACCCGAATACATAATTCACCGAGGTTGTCATCGACACCGTGTTCCTATCTGAATCCACGATAGAGAAATGACTTGTCCCATGGTCCCGGAGCTGGTTCCATCTGGTGAGAACAACATGAACAGAGAAACAAATAAGTACATTCATGGATAAGGATTATGTCTCCAGGCGGGGAGGGACGAGAGACAACCTACTTACCTGTAGAAGTAATATTCCGGTGGGAACGTCGTGTTATCAAATATTTTCTTCTGGATTTCATTGGCATGAGACCTTGAGAGCATCCGGTTAACAGCATTCGTCGTGTTTACAAACGCAGGGTCCCCGAGATCCATCCGAGCTGCAAACATATGTTTCATGGCTTCTACCAGACGATGCAGACCGAGATTCCTGTCGGCAGCGTAAAGCTTCGTGTAGCTGTCCAATATATTCAGAATCTGTTTCAATCCAACCATCGAAAAACGCCCTTTTTAACAGGTGAGAAAGAGTTGTGACAAAAGAATTATTCGATAAGTTACTCGCCATGGTGAATCCAACAGTTCCACTAGAAGGAGGAGGCATTCCGTGTATGGTGAAACCCATTGCATCCGCAGCCATAGCATCTGTGATTCCGACCTCATAACTCCGCAAATCTTCCATCGTGATGATCCCTCCAGCCTTCCTCACGTCCCCGACCAGCTTCTCGCCCACCGGCCCATGATAAAACGCCAGGGGACCATTCTCCGCCACAGCCTCCAAGCTCTTAGCCAGTTCTTTGTTGTAGCAAGTCTCTCCTGCTCTAAGCACTCTCCCTTTCGGGGCAAAGACCTTTCGAAGGCCCGGGTCATTCATGATCTTGGAAGAGTGGCTCGAAATGGCATTGTCGAGATATGGAGCCACGATGAAACCATCTCGGGCGAGTTCAATAGCCGGCTGAAAGAGCGATTTCCAGGTGGAACGTCCGTACTGTCTCCACGCTTTGTAAAGACCGGCAATCTCCCCAGGCACTCCTACCGACAATGCTCCGTTTGATTTCGCGTTTTCATCGTTCTTGTACATATCCTGTTTCGGTTCATTACACAGACCAAACCAAACCAAACCAGGATCATTCTTACAATACTTAGATTGGACAAGCGTGATTTCTCTGTACAATATCTGAGATTTTTGCTGAACCTTTGAAGCAGTCAATGGGGCGGTTTCTCTCATGTCGAAGGCCTGAGCTTTCGAGTCGGTCGGTGAGGCGACGATCATGAAGGCCCCGCCGCCGATTCCACTGGCCATTGGGTTGACCACACCGAGACATAAGGAGGTGGCGACGGCTGCGTCCACCGCATGGCCACCTCTTCTGAGTACCGAGGCGCCGATCTCAGAACACCGGCCATCGTCGGCCGCCACGACGCCGTTTTCCGACTCGATCACGTCCCCGACATTGGTTCCGAGGCTTAGATCGTGTTTGGTTACTTGTCCGGACAGCCAAGTGGTTAAGTTTTCCCTATAGGAGAAACCTACGGTTGAAGAAGATCGATTGAAGATAAAGCTTGGTATAGATGTAAATCTATCGTCTAACCGGACAGACCCAGGATCAGTAAATTTGTTGTCTCCTCCAAGATTGTTGGAAATTATAGAAAAGATCGGAGCATCTAATTGTGATTTTGTGTTAGTTGAAAGTCAACGACTTCATTAGTTTCGCTCAAAAATATCATCGGCTTGATTTACCAGTTGGAAAAAACTCAGATCATCACAAGATCTGAGAGAGAGAGAGAGAGAGAGAGTTCCGACCTGAAATTCCGACGAGGAACAGAACCAAACACAGAGCGATGGTCCGATTTCTCTGTCTCTTCTTCGCCTTATCTCCGACCAGTCGATCATCGATGCCCAGAAGTGGATCCTCCATTATCTTTCTCTCTCACTCCCGTCTCTCTCTCTCTCTATTGGA